AGGCAGAATGCCGAGACAGGAAGTATTATGTTGAACTATAGCTGCACTAGAGTCTCGTCATATTAAAGAACCGTCTAATATGTAAAATCAGTGTGTACGCTTGATTCTTTTCTATTGAGCTGCTGAGGGCAGTGTGAAGTTTGCTTTACCCAGATTGAGTCACATTCGTTCTTCGGACTACACCAAATCTAAAAATTGACGATATTTGATTTTGCAATCCGTAAAACATGTCTGCAGTCTTTGTCATAACTTATCACATATTCCCTCATAGGTTTTCGGTGGCAAACAGGCACATAGATCCGTTATACGGCCAACACTCGCTACGGGTCATGCGACGAATTTAGCAAGGGTTAAATAAGAAACATCACACACTGACGTTTGAAAAACTCAAGGATGTCAGTCCGTCTGATCTGGGCGATCACAATCCAGAGGGGGGCTTACAGAAACCAAAACAGTATCATTTAGTGGTAGTATGTCTAATTTTTTTATGACAATCTACTTACACTTGATACTTGAGCACAGGTAGAACGTGGCACATTTATATTTGTATCCATATTGAACCTGATGGTTTAGCGTTGTTACACATCGCTTAAACGCATCAGTGACAGCCACAGATATTGGCTATTGTATGATCTTTGTCATTAGGCCTACATATTATATAATATGACAGAAATTACATTTCTAGAGATAAATCGTTTTTATTATACCGTCTAAAATGTTTTTATAGTCAGAATAGGCTTTGTTAACAGCGAGTAATCTGGTACTGACTCTGTTTCCTAGCTGTTATGCGTAAGCTATAGTGAATGACTGGCGACTGTGTTCATCTTTATGAACGTAAAGACTTATTAGTATGGGCAATCATAAAAATATGAGGACAATAGAATAGCTATTACCAACTGGCAATAGCCGCTAGTTGCACCTGCTTCGCCAAGAGCTTCATCATGTGTTTATTATCGTCGTTTACCTTTGTTATTACTTTGTAACATCATAATAAACGCGCACATCGTTACCATTGCTGTATTAGTATATACGAGCGTTGTCTACATTAAGTATCTGATATAACACATGAGTCAAAGGACATATTATATATGGATACGCTACTGGAAGCTTGTGAAGTGCCGCGCAGGATTTTTGATTGGACCAACAGTGAGCCGCAACAGATGCGAATGTACGTGCGCAATTTCGCGAAGAATGAGATATCTGTGACATAAATTTTCTCGTTTTCTAAGTACTCACACAACGTTCACTGAGTTCGGAATCTGCTATAGCTAAAACCCATAATGTCACACTTGATAAAACGCTCAGCAGTCAGGATAAGTTAGCTCATATTCACTATAGCAGTATTCGATCATCATTTTTCTAACTGGGTCTGGATTGTCGACGGTTGTATAAGCTGCGGGAAACATGTTCTGACAGTTTTCACGCTACAAGCTGTAAGGCCTTCGAGAACGTTGTCACATCGCGCACATAAAAAAATAAGGCAATTTTTGAGAACAGCTTACGGCAAATATTGGCATGATATTCAGACTATTATATGTATTTATCGTTCCTTTATCGTTATTATGAGTAGATGCTTCCCATACGCTTCCCAAAATCCTGATTCTTCAAGAGCTGAGGCAATTTTGTTTTAAAATGAGTTATTTTAAAACATATATGTCGCCCTAAAAATACAACAAAATATTTGAGTAGTTCACTCGTTTTTTAGGCTTAGTGCTACTGCCAATCATAGATTCAGTTTCTACCATCGCTTCGAATAAGAGTATAAAAACTGGCGACATTGTAAATATAGTAAACACCGTGTGCAGGATCACATATATTAATTGTCTTGCGGCGATCTTCATATCCGTCAATGGGCTGCCCTTATTTATTTAATAACATAAGATTAGCCGGCAGCCTCATTCAGAGTATGCATTAAAGGTGTTTATAAGAAACGCTGATGTAGTTAACCTCAACTTTGTTCCTTAATGACAAGTCAACGAAGCCTTGGTGGGTGTTAGTGCACTCAGCTAGCGAACCTCACGTTTCTGGGCATACGCTCAGCATTATTCTTTTAAAACGCATACTATAAGCTATAATAATCAAAACTATCAGAGAATAATTTACGTTTCTGTCTAAATTATTATAAACAATAGGTTCTAAATTGGCAAATTACACGTTTTCTATAAGCTCCATGGAATTCATTGTGCAACTGATCGACCAGCTGGCTTTATACGTTGTCGTTGTGTGACCGATTTTACTAGCCATTATTTATTAGCGTTTTGTTAGTGACTCCTCCTAGGAACTGGGTTGTGAACACAGAAACCCCGTATATATATATATATATATATATATATATATATATATATATATATATTGTGAGTACTCTATTTCGATCGATGTGGGATAGGGGCACCGCTGTAGGCGTTTTCCGTGTATCAAGGCCATCAGCTCATACATTCATTGTATTTTTATTTATAACATATGTATATCTTGGGCAATTTTAAACAATAAATATTGCCGAAACGTAGCAGGAACTCCGTCTACGCTAATACGATTCGCAGCGCCTTTGAAGCGACGCTTCGATTGATTTATAGTGTATAAATTTTCAGCATCAAATCGAGCAGCTTCCTTTATTAAGGTATAAGCGACAGAAATTTAGCCGACGTTGGTGAACAGTGAACAGCATAGATGCGAAAAAAATACAGGTGAAGAAAAATCATATTGTGTTTAAAGGCAGAGGCGAAGTCAGGAAAAACGTGTGAAAGGCTATAATATCGCTACATTTACCGAAATTCGCTCCTTTGAAAGTAGTGCTTTGCACGAAAAAATCAAAAATCGACTCATGTGAATTCGTTTACTCAATCACGATTATTGTAAGCTGTTCAAATACTCCGATTTCAACCAATATATGCAAACGACTAGTGCCAACCGTAGGTTGGTAAGGCCATGCTAGTGAACAAAAGCTTTAAGGAACTCTTTGAAGAAGAGAACTACGGAACTCATTTTAACTTACTACGATGTAAATAACGAAGCTTTAAATTTCGTACCATGTTATTAGTACACGAATGACTGATTCGGTTGGCCCCAAAGGTAGACGATAATCGGAAGACATCACGTTTGTATTCTTGGACACCCGGAACAGACTGATGTGCATTAGACCACTGATCAAGCTCACGCGACTGAAAGAAAATAACTAGCTGACTTGATCACTGGTTATATATATAATGAATTTGCCTTCGTAGTGCTTCACTGCATCTAAGAATCAACTAGCATAAAACCCATAACATCCTCCATCAGAAACCTTTTGGTCTTTCTTTTATTTAGTTCGCCCATCGTATTGTGTGGCAATCTGAGGCCGGCCGTAATTGTAAGACTGAGCAGCTGCAACCATTATGGAATGATGCTCTTATGCAACTTTTAAGCTTTTTCGGGTCAGTTCAGTGGCCTTTTTATTTGTATTAATTATATTTCAATGTTTACGGCTATTTCTACTACGTGCAACTGGAGGTGCAAAATAAATAGCGATGCTTCGTGTAATAGTAAAACAACAAACATCAACATTAATAACAAAAGACAAGATTTAAATGTAATGTTCTATCTGTGTTCACGTGGTAACGAGTGAATTTTATAATTAGCTATTTACAGAACGCCCATATACGTAACTTTAGAGTTTTTCAGACTGTGGAAAATAAAGTAGAAATAAGAGTATCACATTAGTTTTTTATGCACGTCTAAAAGCTAAACAGGCTTTGGCCCCAAAACTAGGCGTGTTGGAGTGGAAAAAACAGGACACAGTGATAGTATCTAAAATTATTTAATAAAAATTTCACCATATTTAGCAACGTCGACAAAAAGACTCTCTTAACATCGAGAAGCATAGAAAATGATTTGCGTTTGCCTCAATAAATGCAAACTACAGTTAAATAAATATAAAATAAATAAATGTATCTACAGTTAGTTAAAAATAAGGAGCAACAACTGACATTTTCCTTGTCTATTAGGAAACGATCACCGCTTTACATCAAAATTGATATTAATTCATTTACTAGCTAGCTACAAAACATAATTACATACGCTCAACACCGGTAAATGCGGCGAAAGCGAAAATACCCAAAAACGTTCAAATGAAGGATGAAAATTTAACGCTTCACTTAAGTACTTACGATTAGACCACTTACAAGCATATGACAGTCAGCGTGTGATACTCACAAATAATATCATATTCTTAGCAATTATTACCTAATGAGAGAAATAATAAATGTTTGGAATTTTATGTCCTTTATTCGAGCCTTTTGACGTCCTTCGGGGCACAAACAAGTCGAAACTATAACTAATAATAAGGTCGGTTATATTATTCCAACATAGTTCAACATACTTAACCCCGTCCACTAGCTAGGACTTTTCCTATACCCCTTTATTTTCACTTAACAATAAACAGTATAGCACGGATTTGATATCGCATTGTAGAATTCCTCTCAAAGACTAAAATTTTATATTTTTATACTTTATGTTGTTAACATCAAACAGCAAGTGCTGACAACTCACTGTATAGGCACAAATAAATAAAAGATCAAATAAGTGAGCATTATGCGTCCTTTTTAACCGAGTAAACATTTACATATTATCATAAATATTATGTCAATAAATATCAAAAATAACGAAAGTGAAAACAAAACAAAGTTAAGACATAAAGAAAAATAGTCAACATATATTGAAATTTTAGCAAATCTTAAGATCAATCTTAAACGAATGCTGTCTAGGCTTTTTAATACAGTACATTTAATAATAATAACAAAAATAAACTGTGGTTAGGTTAAAGGGTGCAATTATGACAAAATAAAATAATGCATGCAATGACAAGAATATTAGGAGCGTTACTTTGGCAAGGTACCACGTACCTACAGGAGCATATAGGCTTCCATAAGACGCAATCATTTGGATTTCATGTCGGCATGTGGAAAAAATAGATGTCGTCTTCCACTGTAATCTTTTAGCGTATGTGAAATAAAATAATCGTATCATTAATGGTACATGGCATAGTGCTGAGGTTTTATTTTTCTAGCTTTATGATAAATTAGCTCAATGACAAATAATATCGACGGCTGAGAAACAAATAACATTTGGCTTGACTAGGTGCATTCTCATATATATGCTAACAAAAAAAATTATTAGTGTATATATATAATTAGAAAAAACTCATGTATTCATGTTTGAAGCGCGTAGACGTAATTTACTGCTTTGCTTTAAAAGCTATTCGTATAGATTGTACAATCAATATTTACAGAAGAAGATTTAGCACATGTAGGCATTAATTTATAAATCATGGAGTTTTTAAGTAACAAAATTGAGTGTCATGCAAATCTTGAGCGACTCTGAAATAGAACACATAAGGGTATCTCCAGTGTAAATCGATGTCTGCAATTTTGACACGGTTTTCATAATGGATGATTGATTCAAATCCGTCAAATCAACCAAAATGTGCGCACACCATTAACACGGTATTCTTTCCTTGCTCAAAGGACGTGTTTGCCAATTTTTGATTCGGTCTTAACGATCCGATGAGAAGTGGAGCTAGTAAGTAGCAACGCAGTACTTTAGCTACCCTTTAAATTTTGAGGGTTGAAAAAGATCACAAGGATGGATATGTCGTCGCGGTAGCTTCTGAAATAAACCAAATCACAAAAATCAATGAGCATACAAACAGTCAGATCGGAGATACAGGTAATTCCACGAATCATCTATTCACTCATGAGCGATATGACTTCTTAGTGAACCAGTGCACGTTAAAACACTAACAAACTGCTTACTGGGTATATGCTTACCATTTCATTTGATAAACCGGAATTTCATCTGGAAACCCCTTTTTGGGTTCAACAATAAAATAAACTATTACTTAAAATCTAAAGCTCATACTGGTAAATAATCCTATTGTCTGTTTTGCTTAACACTTTAGAAACTATCTTTATTTGTATTATATTTTAGTTAGGTAATTCTAGCATATGGTCGATTTGGATTACCTATAAGAGTCGAACTTCTGGGTCAGGCCTTTAAATAGTGGCCAGTAACAATAGTTAAATCGTGATGACTAATTCAGCGGACCTGCTGTAATGAAGGCCGAAAGTTAAATACAAAACTAAACGTTGGCCAGCAGCGGACTAGATAACGTGTGCCTACGGTGCCTTATGCCCTCAAAGTTCTCACACCTGGCGAGTTTAACTGGAAGTCCAAGATACGCAGCTAGCCGTGAATGATCTAAACCGTATTCGCTTCTTCCTAGCGCGTGACGAATCAGATGGGTCGCAGCGTTTGTGTCAACTGGCTTCTGGCTGAGATCTGTAAAAAATGCTTACCTTACTTGCTTCGCCTAAAAATAAAACTTGTCGTATTTGTCCATCGTGCCGCATGGAACACAACTGTTGAATAGCCGCCCACATGCGGAACTCTTGAGCGATTACCATGAAATCTTTACATTAAAAAATAAAATTCGCTCATTATCTGAATCGATCACAGATTAATCTACGCCTAAAATGCTTAAAATTTGAGATTCATAACCATTTACATAATCGGATTAACTGTACTTCGGGAATTAAACGGTCGTATTGGAGAGCTTTGACCGTGAGAATGCAAAGTTTCGTTTAAGATGTACTAAATTTTAAGCCTTCTATGGCTTTGCTATCGTGAATTCCCTTATTACCGTTTGCACGGTTCTACCATGACGACCAATGACAGTCCTTCCACATATGCCTTCACTATTTACCCAAAAACCGCAACTATTATAATAGTCTCTAAACTAGCACGTGTTACAATGAGGGTTCCTACCCATTTTTCGTTTCGACAGAAGCCTCTGCATTGATCCCAGCGTGGCATTTTCGGGCGTCCGAAGAAGGTTTGCTGTCTCGATACCCTGCATAAATTGACCGATAAATTGTACCACCTACGAGGGAGCATTAAATGAAAGTAAACGTCGTATGTTTTCGACCTGCAGTTATGTTGTTACTAGTAAACCAGATAATCATAATAAGTCTGCTAATTAAAGGTTTTTGATTTTCTCTTTATATCATATGAAAAGAAGTGGATGACGCAAAAGGTTTATCTATCAAGACAAAAGACCTCAAATTTTGAGGTCCCCACGCTTAACCCTATCGAGATCATGGATATGGAACATCGATGTGCTATTGTACTTACTAGTTTATCAATGTAATATGGTATTAGTATAAGTATTTCGGAAGTGGGTCAGAGAATACAAGTTTGTTGCAATCACCTTTTGCGTTCCGAGCATTTCCCACAGACCGTCGGTTGCGATGACGAGGAATTTATCTCTGAAACAAAGCAAGTGAACGTAGTAGATGTAAGACAAAGCAACTGTTAATGTAACAACATCAAACCTTTATTTTAATCTTAAGAGAAAATTAAATTAAGTAAAAATCTCACCTGGGCGTAAGAATGTGATGCGATACCTCCGGCCTAGCCGTGAGGTATGGTGGCGTTAGGTAATGATGAGGAATAACTCTGAAATATCCTGATGGTTACCGTGCTATTCGCACTTGAAGCTCTTATCAAATGTTCACTCACATAACCGAAAAACATTACTGCTATATTCCAATTGAAGCAAGTGCTATTGTTTGCGAGTCATGTATGAAAAATGATTTTCTAAAGCAAGAGTACATAATTTTTCTCTATATATATGCAAATGTCGAGGCAAAAATAATTTCAAGTACGTTCGTATGCATAAATTGCATTACTTTAAGGCTGACGTTAAACCGATCATCGAAATCACTTTGAAAGCTTGTGGATTTACAGGTTAATGTTTGTTTAGTACTAGAAATGAACATTCTTTATTCATGGATGACAAATTCTAGCGAAACGGGTAAAAAACAACGTATGTGAAAGTAAAAGAGAAGTGAGACCGGCTCACCGGTCTCCGTAGAGAGGCACCAAGAATTTATTTAGTTCATCTCGGCTCCATTTGAAGTGGAAATCACCGAAAGCACGCAGAGGTGCCAGATTGCCCAATAGACGTTCGTTTCTGTAACGATATATACGTAATATTTATATTTTGACCAGTCTACTAATTAATTAGTACTAATTAATATGTAATAATTAATTAGTAACTAACTAATTAATACTACTTAATTAAAATCTCTATAAAAAATCAAATTAATTTTACTCAAATTCATTTTATTTGTATATTTTTTACGACTGATGTACCTGTCCACTTCTACTAACCGGTAACTAGGCGACCATAATGTTTAATGTTCCTTTCGAGCTGTTTTTGTCCGTGACATAAACGCATAACTTAGTGTAAGTAGGCTAATTTATTTGAACGTATTTTAACATTATGGCTTGATAGAATGGAAATTGCCAAGCTATGCGTTTCCTACTTTTTCAAACTAAAATAAGTCTTACCTAATAATAGTATTTTTCTCCCCAGTTGGATGCTCTCCGATGATTCGTTGAAGTTCTTCGACGTTATCGCAATTATGTTCTTTGTTTAGCGCACGAGCGCTCCATCGTCCAGTATCGTCACACATACCTTTCCCAACGACAGTAACCGCATCGTTTCAGTTTTAGACTTAAAATTATAAAGATTTCTCCTCTAGACTAACTAGGCCAACAGTACAAAATATCTAACTAATTTGTTAAAGCTTAGAAGTATAGTCGCTTTTAATCTAATCCATGATGATTAGGACATCTGATTTAAATTAATTTAACATTACTTGTACGAATATCTTGTTTTATTACAACACAGAATAGTCAACGTTGCCTCGTTTCTCTCCGCTAATACATAATATTTATATAAAAATTATTATAAATATATATATTTATGAGTGGCGTGTGTACATTGACCAATACGTACACTGACCTTTTTTTAATTCAATTAGTTAATTTTATTGATGGTTCAGATGCTGGGTTGAGCAATGACCAAGCCATAGTGAACATCCAGCTATTGATACCTATCTCTCTTTTTTTATTTGAAATGGAGCCATTTACATAGATTTTGATTAGGTCCTAGGTAATACGAATGATAAAATAAATAATGAGGGCGTTAATAAAAAAGACCTAAAAGGCTGAACGGGCACTATTTCAAGGCGGATTTCATTTGCGTACGGAATCTGAAGAATTATGCCAAAGAATTATTAGAGGTTTGCTAAAAAGGAAATGACTATTCACATCATTATTGGCTCTACCCGTCAATGTTTCAGTCGTCGTTTGCTCATTTTAGTAAACCTCAGAAAATCATAAAAAAGCTACTGTTTGACAACTGAAATATAAATTTAGACGAAAACCTATGTATGTAACTACCAAGCACTGCACGGCAGTCCCCCGTTGATATAACATAAAGGTGCTGATCTGTTATGTGAGCTACCTGTAAATATAATTTAAATGAAGCACTATATATTAGATACATGAACATTATGACCTCTTGGGACAGATCAGCATATAATGGAAAAATTTTTTCATGGTAACATAGTTAAGGTTGTTCCGTGGTACTCAAACAAAGGTTTTGAGCAAAGACATTGTGACGACAGACTATAGATTCGTTGTATGCAATAAATAGATAACGATGTGCCGTAATCATTTTGCAAGTGGAAACTAACTGGAACAAAACACAGTTTTGCTGATTCATACTTATACGTGATTTTGGGTTATTCATGACGTAATTTTTGTATGTTTACGTACTGTCGCAACACAACCTTGAACTGCTAACGTTAAAGCCTCCTCGTCTCTTTTTTCTTGAATTTCGCAGGAAATCTACAAAAAAAAAATACTGTATTAAAATTTTGGTTCTGCCAATAACTACAGTAAACGTTAAATCAAATTCCCATTGAAACCATACAAAAGAATGTATTTTTAAATAACTTCCAAGACACCTATGACAAACATTGTTTTTACACGCTTTCAAGTAATGGTGATCTTTTTGACTGTGTAGAAATTAAATTATTAAACAATGATTTTGAGCTCGTAACGAATAAAAACGTTAAGATATTGCCAGGGCAATACACACTCATGTATGCTTCGAACACAGCTGGATAATATATTTGACTCTAGTTATGCTAATATTGTACTTACCTCTGAATCCAGAAATTCAAAGGATTTGCACAAAAGCTCCGAAGTAGTCAAATGCTCCGTTGAATTGAGAATCTCTTCTGCAAACCTGTGTTATATCAATGACAAAAAATAACTAGAATGAAGACCGTCATCATTCTTACAAGTCAAAATACGATAACTTGCAGGGTAATAACAAATTTTTTGGTGTAATTCGTTATAAATCAACATACCTTTTCAAACTAGTCAGGTGACAGTTATATTGCCAATCATTTAGCTCATCAATGCTAAAGATCCTTTTGACTAGCTGCGGTCGGTTTTTTGAATTGACATAGTCTTCGAGAAGCTGTGATGGAAGGACTGATAATGCAAAATAGTGGGGAGCCCGCTGCGACACCACCTGGAAGATGGCGTGGAAATATCGCATAGAGTAAGCATTTATAATTATACATTTTTATCACCATTTATTAGCTGTACAGATATAGTTTTAACCTAAATTTTGACTGTCTCAATACCCGAGTACTGAAACTTGACCAGCTTTTTGCTCCGTAATCATTCTAGTGGAAACACAATAGACATCCAATTTAAGTACCAAACCATCAACTGCGGCCCTGGATGCTGTTCGCCTTTCGAATACAAATGTACCGCAAGCAACAGAATGTACTAATTCAAGTTGGGGGGACGATGACGACGACGACTACACAAAGCAGCCTATTCAGAAGCCCTTCCCTGGTTAAGGAAGTCATAAAGGGATTTTACTATATGTTAATGCACATAACGATGCTCCCACACAGCATGGAGGGTAGGGCAAAGCATCTTTAAGCTTGACTGCAAGGTTTTCTCTCACGTGGCTTATTCGCTAGAGTTAGATCCGTTAGACGATGTAAGATCTGTTAGTCAAAAAATGTTTTTTAAAATTAAGCAGGTTAGAAGATAGATCTTCGACCAAGTCTAATCGAATAACCGAAAATTCGACCACAGGGAAATACGCAAGTATTTTATAAATGGAAAAGTATCTTAAACCATAACGACGTTGCTATAATGAATGAGGCCCTAAGACTGTTTCAATAAATGAAATGTAAATATTTATCAGAGAAGAGAGATTCCAGTCGCCTGGTAATTGTTGTATTTTGCTAGCACAGACGACATTGTGTTGACTACCCTAAAATCCCAAGCATATGTCTGCTAACTACGAATTTGAACGTATCGTATTAGACATACATAATATTGAATGATCAATTATAATGATGACAGGGAAATAAAAAACTAAAGAGGGGTAACTATTGTAAATTGTTGTACGCCGAGATACGAACAAATTAGGCTATTCAAGTACGTACTTGCGCCATCCGTGAACCGCCATGACCATCAAAAACTCCAAAGGTAGCCCCGGTAGTCAATTTATTTTGGGCAACTATTAATCTGAAAATACGTACGCACACCGATCAATATATACACACATATATCACTTACAAGATACGATAACGCACACAAAACCATTGATAATCAAGTATCTATTGTCTGTGAACTGTGTTCGTGAGAAGGCGATCCCAGAGTCACACTTGTAAGGTGCCAAACCAACGAAACTTCTACAGTTTGATAGACCATCATATTATTGACATAAGGATAACCAGTTTTCAAGCTATTACAACAAATGCTAGATTATAAGGCAACACATCTTGGTAACATTAAACATGCGGCCGTCGCTAGTTGAAAGTTCAGCGTTGGCAAATTGTTACCATGGCTTTAGATGAACCCTAGCTTAAATCGGGTAAGACACACGCTGGCTGACCCCTTCTAGTGAGGCCTAGTACTTGATGTTCGAAGAGGCGATTCTGAAAACGCACAATAAAAATAGCCCCACACAATAAAAAAAAAAGTGCTAAAGAGCAACACGAAATTATTTTTGCTACACCTCACTGTACCTGTCCTCGATGGGATTGTTAGAGGGAAGTTGATTAAGAGCCAGTTGGTTCACTGGACCCCCATTTAGGTCGAGAAGAAGTTCATTTTTGCGAAGTATGTGCGTTACCTGCAAGCATTTTGTATGTCAATAAACGTGGCATATACACACATACTGAACGTTTGAGGTGAGTTATTAATATACGCCGTGTATAGTAAATAAATTATCCATATTCATAAGAAATATACGCACAAGCCGGAATACTAAAAATGACCAAGTTTTCTTCCTATTTAAGTTCAATCTATTAAAGAAAAAATCTTCTAGCCTAGCCACCCCATTCCTTGTCTCCGTGGTGTGTATTTTTTTCACTTACATAACTGCACAATTTTTATGAATAAAGAAAGTTATTTATATATTCTGTATTTACACCAGTCTAATTGCTATGAGTAAACGAAGGCACTTGTTACACCTAAAGCATCAAGTCAATTTCTCGCCATTCTCTCTGGAATGCTATAACTCTGCCGTGACTGTCTACCAATAATCTGCGTCGCTATTTCTACGAAAGAGTGGACCAGTCAAAAGTACTTCAACTTTGCAGGCAAGCTGTGATACTTCTATTGCCATTGCTGGCGCCGTCTTAATAGGAGCACTTTTAAGAAGCTAATGACAATACGACACACAGAAAAAATACATCTTATAGTAGGAGGCTGTTCCAAGTCCTTCTCAGTTCACACATTGGGTTCTATTATTATTCGCCACAGACCGAGTTTGAAGCTCTATCCTCAGTTACTGTTGCTTCTTTCAGTAGCCCCTTAAAAGAGAGCAGTTATAATGTTGTGTTCAACATTAGCAAACTCACTTGGGCTTCCCGAATTAGTCAAAGGCACAGCTAAATTGAATCTGTTTTCGAAGGTATCGTACATCATCGTATATATTATGATATAGGAGGTTTCACACATAACATACATATTCATATTTGAATCGGTTCAACTACTCAAATGTCTCATGCTTTGCAAAAGGACAAAGTATTCTCTCCGTGCAATAATAGATTTATACATCTTATTGGCTCACCACCGTGAGTCGCAATGAGGAAGTATCGCTACGCTGAATTTGCTTAATTATCGATTGGATTTGATGTAGAAGTGCAAAAGTTACCACGGCCCTTGTAAAGCCTATTCTAAATACACAATGTTGTTAATGTTTATAACAATAAAGCGCTATCGCAGTACGTGTGTTATCATTTAGTATTCTAATAACTGTCAAAATTGCTTGAAGCTGCGTTTCCACCAACTTAAGCCAACGCTATGAGATTCTGCACTCCTTGATAATATAACTTTAATTCGTTAAACATATCGAACCAGATTAAGCTATTATATCTCGAACAATTTTTCAGTATTTAATAGCTTAACTTTATAGTCAACAGGCACAAATTTTACCTCCGGCGGGCCCAGTTTAGGAATACCAAATCCTGAACTACTGCGATAACGAATGCCAGCCCGAACACCACCGACAACCGCGCGAACCATGTCCGCCTGCATACGGAGGAGAATGAACTATGGCTTTTATGCAAATAACTAGGAGCTCTAAAAATTCGCTTAGCACTTGGAAATAGTTTCGGAGATGTACAGAAGGCGACCTAAGTCAAAACAATTGTTACGAAGAAGAAAATCTTCCGAGAATACGCTACGACCTCTTTGTTTAAGTACTGCGGTACTGCCTCTCTAAGAGAAGACATTCGAACGAAACAGATCATGGGCGCAGCCATACTGCAAAGGGAAAGGGCAACCAGAGAAACCCAGACAGTTCGATATACTATTATTATTTCCCAATTTTATATATATATATATATCATACGAGCATATTCCATGGCTATATAACATACTTCTATCAATTTAAATATCAAGTAGCCAGTATGCTTGCTAGAGAGTCCCGCAGATAGGAACAGCAGATGTTGTCGACAAGACGCGCAACTACTAAAGGCTACCAGGCAAATTTCAAGTAATCGGCGCAGCTGCATTAAACTACATGTTCATGGTACGCGACTTGCCTTCTACTGAGTGGCTGGGTATTACGTTGCCCATATAGTGGCTCTTTCTGTTGCAGTCTCATTGCCATTGGCGTACGCTCTTGTGACAGACAGGCAAAGACAAAAGGTTGCTTCTAGGAACTCGCGAATCTTAATTACAACTTCAGTCTTACGCGTTCACGTTCCAGTTGTGCATTTTGGTTTACACTATTAAACTTACCGCCAATATGATGGACATTGACGAACAGCAAATTGAGGGAGCCGGTAAGTGTTTTTGTTTCGGGAGATAACACTAACATACCGAGATGCTTTACCTAGTCGTGTATGGGTAGGATAGCTGATGTTCTAAACCGCAAACAGCTCTACTCAGCCGAGCCTACTGATCCTGTTATCCGATTCATACAAAATAGTTTTGGTAGGGATTTATTGTTGGGTTTCCAGTCCTGTGAGTGGAATCAGTTCATAGGCAATTTGTAACCTGTTAATGCGGTCAAAAATATTTTTCTCTTCGTATTTGCGGGTCGGAAAATGCTCCTGCCTCATGGTAGTTGTTTATGGCAGGTTTTCACTAGCTCTTGCGGGTAGAGACTGATGCTGGGTGGAGCAGCGTTGCATCCACTATATTACTTGTATATACTAAGTGATCCATGATCTATGTTATCAGTACATATATTGTTGTTAACATCGTCTTACTTGAATTGTGTAATAGCGTTGTAGGCAGTTTTCTTGTAAGACCGATGGAAACATCAGTTGGCTTCATAGCAACAACAATAATAGTCTGATCGGTATCCATTCTTAGGCTAAAATTGTTTTTCCTATGTTTGATACCTATGTAAGAGTCGCGCAATATGTGGAGAAGTTGCGAATAGATTACTCACTTACACTGATTATTACTATTGCTTTTTTACCACGTAGATGCTGCTGTTGGGGCGGGAAGTAGAGCAATGGAGGGTCCCGCAGGCGGAGCATCAAGTAAAAAGCGCTTTGAAGTAAAAAAGTGGTCAGCTGTAGCACTCTGGGCTTGGGACATCGTTGTTGACAACTGTGCCATCTGTAGAAACCATATTATGGATCTCTGCATTGAATGCCAAGCCAATCAGGTTAGTCTTATCGTGTTATGATCAAATGTAAGTAACTTAAAGGAAGGGAAAAAGATAGTGAAAGAGAGGGTTATCAGAGACATTTACACATTCAAGTTAATAATTCCAATGAAGTAGCCGGATAGTGCAGCTTCAACAAGTTGTTTCATCTGTTTACCTTGATTTACATTGAAATACTACTATAATGAAATTCAACTCTGTTAATCATTATCTCGTATTCGTCAGTATTAAAACTGCTACAGTCAATAGTAACATTCATTTTTATTATTATTCATGTTATCTATTTTAGGCCTCTGCAACGTCTGAAGAGTGCACCGTAGCCTGGGGAGTTTGCAACCACGCGTTTCACTTTCACTGCATCTCTCGGTAGCGCATTATGCTTATTTATATCTGATGATTACCACATTTTTCAATGCCATACGTTTTGATGGTAGTAACGACGTTAGATGTTATTCTGTATCGTCGATTTTTATGGGCGTACGAAAGTATTTGTACGTGCATCTCAGGCAATTTATTTAACGGTGTCGTTGTTTTAAGGATCGATAAAAAAGGTCGGAAAAGCAGATTAGTATACGATGTCTATCATATACTAAATATTGTATTTAAGGTTATTATTGAAGCTGGATAGTTTGCGGTGGTTATAAATACAATTTTTACCACTTCTTTTTGTGTTTAGCCATATTTCGGCTTGGGCTATGATCTTTTGTGCAGTAATTTCAAGAAAATTTACGTACTTAAACTTTATTTTTATGTACTTTGTAATCTATGCAGTATTTAAAACGCGTGTGTGTGAATGTGAATATGCGATCCCTGACGCAAAAATGCTACATTGAATCGATTCAAGTTCAACTTTTTTCAGTGATACCCTTGATCTTAAACATAAACGTACATATATCGGTTAATGATTCCATCTTCTTATAGGAAAGTAGTCATTCTTTATATTAATTTCATTTTTCTAGGTGGCTTAAGACGCGACAGGTGTGTCCTCTAGACAATCGCGAATGGGAATTCCAAAAATACGGTCATTAAATCACGTTGTATATAGTAATTTCTCCATGACTCGAACTGTGAAAATAGGTGTATCGTGTATGTGGAAATAAGTCAACTTGAATGTTGAACATAGTCATCAAAGTGGAAAAATAAATGACGGGTGGCAAACGAAAAACTGAAGACTTCAGGGCTGCCCTGGCCAAGGGCTGCCTCCGCTTGCTTAAGCCCTATAATTGTCTTCACGACTTACGACTTACAGTTCTGCAAGGTTATTACGGATAAAGCAAAATAATGGAATTGTTAAAGCGAGGTGAAGCAATGTGATAAATGAAACTACAAATAAATGAGACGATAAAGTTCTTAAATAAAAATAAATTTGCGTTGTCGCGCACTAATAATGAGCGATACACTATTTGATTAGGTAGCAAAAACTATAAGCAATCATGCACAGCAAATCGGAAACCTTGACAGGTCGAATGGGCATCTATAAAGACGGGTACATTGACTAGAACGTATTGCCCCTACGTTGAAGTGGGATAAACACTAAGCGTATGTTGACAGATAATGATTTTTACTTAGCCCTAATCACTCAGTCATCTGTTATCAATCACTCAGTGTATATCGTTTATGTATATTTTATTTATACTTTTAATAAGCGTCAAATCTTGGTACGTTCGTTGCTGTTTGATAATATTTCTTAACGCTTGTGTGTATTAAAACACCTGTATCGCAACTTGTCGTTCGCCTTATTTATGGAACATTTCTAGATCAAAACCGCTTATGATTTTAGAATATACGAAAATACAGTTAAATTATATAACTGTTTATTTTTGTGTAATTAGCTTGCCTCAGCTTATAACTCGGGCAGGTCACTGTCATATATAGCAGATGGGATTCTCACAGTTCTGACCAAAACGCCATATTCATTTTCAGCTCTTATTTTCACTTGATGTTCGAAATCAGTTCCACTGTTTGTGGCACACTATATATCAACTACCTCGTTATGAACGCTCAGATGCAGTAGGGGAATATTTACATTGTTATACTTAGTCGACTGATTGGTCACTGAAACATATTATAATTGAGATCCATTTGAAGTATGTAGGCGAACAACTAGGTCTAGCTTATAATGTCGAAATCCAGTATATTGAAAGTTACTCACACAGAATGAGAATCGATTACCGCTATTCGTTAAGACGGTGACGATGGTTCGTTAATTTTTAATGATATGAGCTTTCGTCTGTGGTGTGTCCGTGGAAAGTTTTATGGCATTGAAGAAACCTGATGTTGTTTTTCGCTTCGAGATTTTGACTTCCTTTCGGTGTCCATCAGTACTTAGTTTTTTCCAGGTCGAAATGAGGAGCGTGGACCTCTCGTATCTTCCACTTCTGTATTGCCTCGTCTGCCACTCGTTGTCGTTGTATTGCTTCCAGAGGGTTCGTCACTTGCGTAAAGACATATGGAAGTGCCCGAGAGGCCCCCAAGGAGTATAATACACATAGCTAACGGAAGAGCTAATGACACAACGATGTCTTCAAATGAGCTCCTAAACGAGAACCAGTCATAAAATGATAGCGACTAGAATCATATAGGCAATGTATATAAACTGAAAGGGCCCATCTACATTTATTTGATGACTTCTTTTTGATGAAATTTTGAAGAAGTCTTCTTAAGCCGTTTCTCATAGCCAGAGTTAGCAGAGCCAAACACTTATCTAGAAGTAAGCAAACGTCTGCCGACCGTACAGTCTACAGCAGATCTACACAGTTAGTAAACATTACATAAACAAAAGCACTGCCAGCTTTTTTATGATGACAGGCGTAATCATTTCATGAGGAAATAGTTATCTACTGTTTTTCGACGTTTTCAGTTTTGTACCTTCAATGACACAAGGTGTAGAATATGCTCGACCAAAACAGTGCCAGTTTAATAATTCAGGTGCTCTTAACGATAACTTAAACTACCACTTTAAGTATATAAAATATAGCTATCAGTCACTAACAACTTACCTCCGTGGTAAATCTTGAAGCGATGGACCTTCAAAAGTTGGTGCCGCTGTTTCGGTTCCGTGCCATTCACCTTTCGTAGTGCCGTTGCCGTCCTGTGTAGCTGAATCTAATCCATCGTGAGATCGTGGTGGAGATGGATACTGAACTTCAACGTCTACATTACTGGCGGCTGCAGCAGCAGCTACCTCACTCGAGCGGGTTGACGGAAAGCTGTTATTATCTAAAGCTGACAGCAACCCGCTGGGTCCGTCACCGGTATTTCCTCGAGAGAGAGATCCCACATTCTAATAATCGATATAAAGCAAAAGGGGTCGACATCTGTGTTGGCATAATTTAATTTCAGTTGTAGACTATGTTAATCCTGATATTTTTTTGTTTGTGGAAGTATTTATAGAAGCTATCTTGGTATTTTCCAATGTTCTCAAAGGATACCGCCATATCGTACTTTCTGACAGCTTTAGATTTTCGTCCTCACGTCTCCTCTCGATCGCAAGATAAAGTCTACCATATTCACCAGCGCGAAATGAATATTGGTGAAGTAGGTAGAATGTATTTTCACTTGTATCAAATCAAATTTCATTCCAGGCTTATCGACTCGGAAAAACTCTGTGCTACTTGACCAATTATATTGTGTGGTTGGCAACGAAAGTAGACTACGTCGATACTTTTAAATAATATTTGCATACCGTAATAAGTCGAAATCCGCACCAGTCTATTTGCACGTTAATCTTGCGAAAACGCCATTCAGCAGATGTCCTAGAAAGATTTAGATTAACGAACATATTTAGTTTCATCAATATCATGACAGTGTTGTATAAGGGTTGTATATACTACTTTTAATCCTTCAGAAGATCAATATGATTACTTCCAACACCGAATTCCTTTGGTGCATTTTAGACCATTGAGCTTTTTATTGAGGATCTTCAACGTGCCACCGAATGTCAGCCCCTACTCCCTGTATGTTGAATCATCTCGGATGTAAATCGTCATGTATTACTACAAGACTCATCCAGGGGAAGGGCCCATAGCACAATTGGCCCTCCGTCGGTCGTCCGCTGAAAATCAGGCTTATATTGCGCAGTATCAGATCCGCAATGTAAGTCTGAAGCTCCTGAATAACTACATGCATGTTTCTTCTTCCATTTGTTGGCTCTCCAGCCAGGTGCATCAGTGCGATATGTAAGTGTTTTATTAGATGACTGCAAGCACATAAAGGTTCGTTTTGTCAAGCCTGTCGCCAAAGAGCTTAGCCCACTTTTCCCTCTTATAGGAAAGCGCTAAAGCTTTGTACACAATTGCCAAAAAAATTTGATCTACACCACCTATAATAGTAAACGCAGAGTTTCTTCTAAACATCTGATGTACGAACTTACCTCTTGTAATGCCTTGGACACGGTATTCGGTTACGCAACTGTCGCACTTCTAATTCAAGAGTACGTAGCTCAGAAGAGAAGTTTCCACTTCCAGCTACACGGAGAACAAAACTATAACAGGACGAAATTGCGCATGGTAAGTTACAATACGCACAAAATTAAGATCCTAATAGATTAATATTTTACCAGGACATGTTTCTCTTTCGTTTCATGTGTTGCTCGTGCTTTAGCTAGCAGGGCTTGCTACGACGATTCATGGGTATACGAACAAGCTGGGCCGTCCATATCGAAAAAAATATTAAATCGTTATAATCGCATTTTCTGTTAAAAATGCGTAATTTTTTTTTCATATTATGGCAGAGGAATTTGGATGAATATCTGCGACTTGCCTCGACAATCCTTTGCACTGTATTTATAACGATTCATAAATATTTCTCAAACAGCCTCGCTAAAAGTTTACTATGAGTAATATGGTATTGATACCTTGGGGATCATTGGAGTTTTGTTCACTCGAGCAACGGATTTAAATCAGGCTGACCGATCCACTAAAAGGTTTGTCCATCAAGGGAGGTCCAATGACTAAAAGTATTATTTTGAGCCAGTTTTCGTTTCTAAAAGACGTGTGGTCTTCGGTCGTGGCAGTGTTATTATAGTTTATATAGCGTAATGAGAGGCTTTTTTATAGAAGTTTTTTAATTTTTTCGGCAAGATTCTGCTACGCCCTTAGCAGCTTGTGTAAAGGTGACATATTGGTTGATACTGAGTTTACAACATGCACAGTTTTAAAACGAGCGGCTAAATCAGTAGAGCGATATGGAATAGCACTATAATCGTTGAGATCATTTTTCACTTTGGCGCTAAGAAATTTACTTAATCTTTTTGAAAGCGTTTTTGAAAGCCCACGGCTTCGATTTCGATTAACCGAAGGAATTTACAACGCGTGAAACTCTTTGACAGCACCGGTAGTCTGCTAATACTGGCTTTACGTGTCGCTGACGGCGATACTTTTGTTGTCTATGGAGTACGCTTCGTTTGTGGTCCTTTAACTAATGGCTAAACTGTCATTTAAAGATGGGAATTTCACATCAAAAATCTCTTCAGTTTAGACGGTCTACCCGCTATGTACGTAATTTATGAATTCGGTAACTAAAGTTAATAATATATTTTGTTCACGATTTTTTGACAGGAATTGCAGCTAATAATAAATCAAATGTATAATACGTGGTAGACGCAAAAATTATGATCCAGCTACACACCCCTCTTTATCTCGGGGATCAAGGGGCCTCCGACCTCCGACGTCAAGTACCGATGCTAATTTAGAGATGAAGACGACAGAACTGGTACTCCACAGTTCCTGCAGCAAAATTCGTCATAGATTAGAATATTCAAGTATGTACCCACTCGCATTAACAATGTTTGATATGCAAAGTAATATGTTAATATTTGTTAATCTAAACCTTTATTGCTAAAGATTCCAAGCTTTAAACCAACGATAAGACTGACAAGCCCTTGTAACCTAGTCAATAAGATCCAACTTTGATCTTACCCTTAGTACGCCTTCAAATTTAGGTAAAATATCTTCTTCGAATACGTCTTCAACATTATGACTAATGATCTTCATCTCAACTTCATACGGCGCAGCAATTTCTCGCGGTTCCACCTAAAGAGCAAAACAAAAAAAAAAACATTATTAGATGAATTCGAATGTTCAAGGTTTGCCAACTTTATAGATTCTCAGCGTTAATCTTCAAAATACCTATCGATAAATGCTTCGTTCAAGTATTTAAGTGAGGCAAATATTGTCCCTTAAGGGGCTCAAACATAACTATTTTTACGTGACATGGATATATGAAATTAACCATAGATCAGTTGATTTAGTTGACTGATTCACTGTAAATATTCCTCCTGTATTCTGCGACTTATGAATGGCAAATCCTGTTTTTTTTTTTCATTATATTATGTGCGTCCTATATGCTTTCTATCTAGAATGATTATCGGGTTGCGATGTTGTTTAGTAGGTCCATAGACTGAAGCATGTTGGCTGGATCGGGAAATGCAGATGTCGATATGTGCGCATGCTCTGCTTAGATTGATTTGTAGTGGTCTGAAGACACTAACTTAGAATAAGAAAAGGCTGAATTTTCGCTAAATTCCCTTTGCCCCCTGATGTACTGAAAACGTTACATCTGGCTGTCTTAAGCAATAACTAGCTAGAATAGGCCAGTCTGCTGTACTCTAAGGATATACGCTATTGGATGTTTTGCCAAACTATTTTTATTATAGCAGCTTTGGCGAGCTCAAATAAAAATTACGCCCTTTAACGTCTTCTACTCAAATATAGCATAGTGTTGAATAGACTATAATACAGTAATTGAGTTTTTGCATTCTAAAAATTTGTTTTGTATATATATGTGTGTGTGTGTGTGTATGTATGTATATGTACTGGACTACTTAACAAATGATAAAATGAATTCTATAGTCTAACAATAGAATGGTTATTGACTCTGCCAGAAATATGAAATGTTGCGAAATAAATATGGTATACTTTTAAAAAGGGGGCCTTTAACATTGACTTTTCGCTATGATGAATTTACCTGAAGCTGTAGCTGACGAATGTTGACATAAAATGTCTGTTGATCCGTGCTGATTATCTAATAAAGGAAAGCGCAAATTAAATTATAGCAATGAGTTATTTAGCATTTACTAGTGCCGTTAGTACGTTAAGATCTTTTTCTGAAATTGCTTAAATTTGTTTTAAATATAATCCAAGCATGTTTTGCCAATTGATAACATAAATAGGTTACAAAAGGGTCCCAATACATTGATAATAGTGATAAAAAACTTTTGAAGCATTTTAGTGGCTGACAAAGTCAGGCGCGTACCAACTACCCATTGACATAATCTAAGTTAACTACGTGAACAGTAGAATGAAAAATTCACAATTAACATATAATTTAATTCACAATCGATAAACAATTGTTTATGTTACACATATATGAGAAGCATAGCACTTCCTACTTTAGACGTCAAAAATACATTGTGCACAACGAGTGGTCTTATGAGTGCTGTTTTTCTTTTTAACAAGAAGCGACGCTGATATCAACAAAGTGTTAGAATTTTTTTTAATTTTTGAAAAACTACTAGTTGCTACGGATCATTATTTTTACTGAATATATTTAGGGGAAATAATGAGGTGAACGGCATACCTAGAAAAATGCGCCTAACAACAAATTATTGTTGCCACAGTTGTAATCAATTGTTACGTTTGAATAAAGCTTCGATATTCCACCAAATGCCTCGAATTACCTGAATATTAACAAGCCCGCTGTTTGGTTGACTCCCATAAAGGAGGAGGTCTTCCTTATGAGGTCGTAGAAATGTCCACCTCGGCAAATCCGGATAGCCAACAACTGAAGCCACATGTGAAAAGGTTGCGCCTGTATAACAAAGCGTTTATTACTTCATTGGTTGTTAATTGTAATACACATAAAATTCAACTCTGAGCAACCAGGGAAATACCTACACGCGTACCCCGGATACTTTCGTCTACCTCAAGAGGCATCATGAGAAAGTATTTTGTTTTCTACTATTGCGTCCATATTGTGGGGACAAATCTGGAAAAAAACGCTTCTCCATAGTCGGAATATTATAAGGGTTACGTGGTATCCGTGCGCTCATTGAAAATTGTCTGCGACCTTTTCTGGTTATCATTATGCTCAATTACATACAAGATGTACAACATGTAACAGCCTCGAGACAAATGATACTTCATGAAAATTTGTTAGAGAGAGTTTGGGCAGTTGGAGTATGATTACCCGGATAAAAGCGTGATATCCCCAAAATCTAGTAATTACACTATGTGGTTCTTGACAACATATTCCAAAATCTAAAATGTGTTGCCATATTTAGCACAACAGCTCTGTGTACGATCTTCAGGTGACATCATTAGCCATCCCCAAGTTTAATCGACTTTTTTTTGACAGGAATATTCGACCTCGCCGGTCATTCTTTCTAGTGACTGACATTAAAGGCTAAAGGACAAAGCGGACGGTTCACGAAGTGGACACTCTGCTAGTAAGTTATTTCTATCTCGATGACGGTTTTGGCATGTTATGATGAATATTTATGAATTCAATATGTCAAAAATAAATTTAGCTTAAAAATAAAATTAGATTTGAGAAGAAAGAAGTCTTGAGCTCTGGTTCAAGGAATCTAAAATATTCTTCAAAGAATTAAATAAACGTTTACCAGTGGTATCTTCTTTCGGTCACCATTGCACTATTTAAACTAACAAACGATATGATCAATTTTTACAAATAATGTAAGAAAAAGATTTTAATATATAAAGAAATCTTTTAATTTATAAACGATTTAAGCATTGAATAACTATTAGAAAAGATATAAGATAAAGAAGCTTCACTCCTCGCAATATTACAAGGTTACGATAGAATCAAACGGCTATCCAAAGTGATCAAGCCAGATTTAGTACTCACCTTAAAGGCCCCAAAACATTCCCGGAGGTCCCGGTATTTACTATTTAACTTAGATATTATTAGAAATTCATAATCTTCAACCGTAATTTATTTTGGATCGTTCGCTCAACCGTTTATTTCATTCCTGCAGTCCGCGTTTTGTTATGACCTTATGTTTACTCTATATGCTTTACTCTGTATGATGATATTTGTCTGACCTTTGTTAATGTTCGTTGCCGTAGAAACAGAGTTTTAGGTATGTTAAAGTCAATGGTATGTTATAGGGTTTGAAGCTTCCACATAAGATTTAGGTGCTGCTGAATATTGCTCTATCAATACTTTCTGTGTTGCCTTCTCTTGTGGAATCAATAAAGACTCACTGTCGTCTAACCTGGAATTGGGTTGTTGAGACCTAATAATCGTAGACGGTACAGCTGGTTCGTGAAAATTACAACTTTCGGATACGATGTTTCGGGTGACGCGATGGTTAACTTGTTTACAGCGTCGGTTGGTGATGACAGTTCCTCGATAGGAGGAAATTCTACGCCCGAAACTGAATTCGAATTAAAACAAATTTTAAACATATATTTATGCTGCCATTTTGTGTTTTGCAAAACGCACGGAATACCTGGTATATTTTGACCACCTCTTTTTTGGTGGTGTACAACTAGCGTAGCTAGTTTTTTAATCGAATTAGCTTTTAAAATAAACACTGAGTACTACTGTCATTAAGTATTTAAATCTGACTTAGAATAGGTAGTAAAACAGTATACGTACATATAGATAAGAAAAAATATATGCTGACGCAATAAAGGGATTCAAGATTAAATAATGATCAGATGCAACCTGTAAAGTAAAAACAAGTACGGAGGTTTGACAAACAATTAACTTAAAGATACCGATAATTCGTATATGGGCGCTTGTAGTACTTCAGTGGGATTGAACCTGAAGCAGTATTACTGAATTTGATGATTACTTGTCTAAATATTTGAATCTGGCAACTAGACTATAAGCATCGAATGCAGTATCTACATACCACCATGGTCCGCTTTGACTATATCAGGGGCAATTCCCTTGACAAGTCCTACACAAAGAAAAAGCGAAATCAGAGAGACGCTCGGAGACAAATTATTCTGCTGGGCTTTTGAAGTCTTCTTCCCATTTGGAAGCGCCTCGAGTCGGCCTACCTGCGACTTTACACTGGAGCGTATCGGCTCGCCCATATTTGTATGTTGCTTTATGGTGCGCTGTTCTGTTGACAGGAATTTAGTTTGTTAGCATCTGACCAATCTTTGCTTTGAGCTTAATTAATTATTACGAATAGACAATTCAACTTATACTAATGAATCCCAAACGGCTCGAAGTGTTTGTTTCAAAAATTATCGTGGTATAGTAATAGTAATAATCCAACATTCGGACGATTTAGTATAGAGTTATATGGTGATTCTTTTTTGCTTCTATAGAACCTTCAGTAGAATAGTTCCGTAATCCGATGGACATAATCGCTTATCGTGTATCGCTTAACTTAGCTCGACTGACTAAACTCTAAGGTTTTTTATTCTTTTGGCGTTAGGACAATTTGTCTTAGTAAACTTACATCGGAAAATCGCCATGTTAAAGCAAGCGACATGCACGAGATCCTTCAGCTTGAAATTTTATGCCTTATATTCTCGTAGGCCATCTAATCGTAAGTTCGCCGCAAATTCTTACGGATCTCGTTTTTCCTCCGCCTTTCACACTTATGCTAGTGCGATAGCCCAGCCTAAGGTGAGCAAAACAATAATCCGTTAGCAGACAACAATAGCATCCTTGTAACATGAATTCTGTATCGAGACAGTACAATCAAACAGAACTGTCAAATTTTCCAGGGTTCCTGCATGAAACTTAATTGAGCTTAAAAAACCAAGCCTCTGCGATAATACAATACAACTAAATGAGCTATGCTATTTATTCCTAAATTAGTGGACTTGCCCCATTTACAGTGTCTATCTTAATGGTAACTACTTACACAGAGCTGGTCGGTAGGTCTTCAGTTTGAAGGAGCCGTTAGGTGTTTCCCTAGAGTGTTTCCATTCTTCCAGCACTTAACAGCGAAGCTTCACATTTTGAGCAGACGCTCATTTCCAATATAAAATAAACACGATCATTCAGCTCATCTCTTCAGTTCATTTGTACAGCTTGTCGCTATTTATTTTCCAATTTATTAAAATTACTTGTATGTCCTAATACATAGGAATAGGTTTTGATTATGTTTAGCATATCCTACAAAAATAGCAACTAACTGCCTTGATAACGTGAAACACATTTCATCCGTTCCCAGATTAAGGTTCCGCGACTAGTTCGGCTGCGAACCCAGAAGGGCCCGATCGACCTGAAGGAAACCGACAGGAAAGGGTGCCTGCGGCGAGATAGAAAAGGCGAACAGAGGCTACTGGACAAAAAAAGAGGAGGGCGCAGAAGGAAAGGGGCAAGAAAGGAGCAGGAGAGGCGGAGGTTACTGCTGCAACTGAACTGCATTCACTTGCTGGGTTCGGCGACGACATAAATATTTCAATCGGGCCGTACAAACGCACTGTCCTACCCCCATCCCGTTCCTGGCGGACGAAAAGCGGTCAGGGAGGAGGTGTGCGGTATCAAAAAGCCACTAAATAAAATGTAGCAATCGACATTGAAAAAGTTTAGGTATAGATTATAAATCGATGTCTACAACTAGTCTATGCGCATCGAAAGCCTTGCGAATCTTTGTTTGGTTTTTACGCCATTATTATTCCCACTTAACAAGCAAATGAAATGATACGGACATATACATAACATTGCCGTATGGAATAATCATTTTTTAAGTTTTTACACTATTAAAAAGGATTGGTCACGGAGAAGGTGGCTCTAACAAATAAATCACTGGTCGCAAAACTAGAGGTAGCCCTGAGATACACAGATTAGGCAATAGATATGAAATGAACTAAGAATCTGTCGTACTTAATAAGCAAAAATGCAGGCATACGGGTGCATAAACTAGTCCGGCTCGAGACTGCAAGGCTGAAAGAGGGATTAAATATGTTCCACGTAGGCGGGTGAATACGTTAGTATGCAGCCAATCAGCTGTACAAATATGTTACTATTATTGCTTCAAGTGAGTTACACTTCAGAAGTAACAATGAAGCCCCTTTTTTAATTGCGCAAAGTATTTGCTTTCGATTACGTCTTCATTTATGAACAGGTCACCTTTTAGCTATTCGAATTATTTTTGTGGGGATTGCCGAGAGGCACGTCCTTTAACGGGGGATATCGTACAACATGCACACTGAACTCTGTAAGGTGGCGCGCGTGGTTCAATGGAGGCAGCCCTGAGAAAGACGCCACTAAATAAGTTCAGGAACGGACCAAACATTAATCGTGCTTTCAGAAGCAGTTTGCCGAATCGCATATATATATATAGTACGGGTGAAAGCTTAGTGTTTAAAGCAAACCACTCAGGACCACGGAAAATCGCTGTCCGACTAGCTTAGAGGATTTCATGTAATTTTCAAGGAAGTGTTGCGTTAACAATTTATTAGGAAAATTTTTCTTGTACAACAACATATAATTAAGAAAACCAACAGAAAAATTATGCGTAGGAGTATAGTACTATAGCATATAGTAACAGAAGATCTCTCCACTAGATGACTACAATCACTTCCGTGCGACGTCTGATAGAAAAAAAAATATGAGCGTATGAGAAGATGGCATCAAAAAGGAGTGAAGCTTAAACTCACTAGTTCCCACAATAGATAATGTCTGTTACAAGATAATGGCGTGCATATGTTAATTTCCTATCTTGAAACAGCTGTGAGTCTATTAATTTATATTATTAGGACTTAAAAGCCAGAGATGTACAGTTGCGACAATGAATTTAACAAACGAAGTGTTCAGCTTGAATCAATGCTGAGGCTTCGATACAACGGATGTGGCATTGCAGAACATTACGCCGACATAGGATTATTTGTTCTTATGACAACTACATTAATTCTATCCACACAATGGAAGTGTTCGAGTCGGCAGAGATCGATTCATGCGTTAAACTTCATCAGACAGAAATGATTCGGCAAAAGCTAAGGAAGATATTCCGCCATGTTGAATTACATACAGGCTCTGCGTTGACAACCAGGGAGAAAATAGGATAGGTATAGGTATACCTGATAGCGTCTCGCCACGGTCCTGCGTCGCGATGAGTTGTTTTTGTATGCCATAACCCCTTGAAACTAACGGTTCACTTGGAAAAACGCATGAATGAATCGCCATGAAATGTTGGGGGGGCCTTTTCGAACGTGCAGATGCGCGTGATCTAGTAATACCAATGCTGAAAACGTATTAAAAAAAAAACAGGTTATTGGATAGGGGCAGCTTTTTTATTGAGTTAGTCGATGTTGTCAATGCGGTCAGAAGTTTTCGGAAGGCAAGCAAGAGAAAGAATTGATGCAGTTAAGGTCGTCTTGAGGGCATACAAACATCTCGCATGCGAGGGCAACGCACTACTATGTAATCAGTTAGACTCAGTTTTCGAACAGTTTTTATTGAAGTACACTCGCTACTCATTGTATAACTGTACCAGATAAGAAACAATTTATTAGCTTATCTTAGCGTCATCAATGCATGACCAATTAAAACTGGAAAATATAATTATTATGTTGTTTTCGTATATAGCCCACACAGTACAAAAGTGTTTCCTTTCCCTAGCGCTCCACAAAGGACTTTGGAATGGAGAGAGAATGCCTTCTGAGACGTAGTTGATACTGTGATCGTACGCCACATAATTTATCACTTGCGCTTACCGAAGCCATATATCTTTTTATATATATGTGTTATACATAAAAATGTTTGTTATTCCACTTTATGCCGTTGGTCTGCTCAGACAATTTATGCCTCGTAGTAATAAGGATGAGAGTAAATTTCTCAACGAGAGTTTCTGCAAGTGACTTTTAACGTCCTGGAGTGGTAACAAGGTAATAGTCAGAGCTGCTGGAGAAAGATAGCAACGAAACTAACGACATCTGAAAAGACCGTGTAAGTAAGATTAACGTGTGAACCCACCATATATATTTTTTTCTGTTTCGTTCGTATCTACTGGTACGCTTCAGTCAGTGTCCGTATCTTCTAAAACTTAGGTTTGCCTAATGGATTCTTTACACGTGTTCAGATATACGCCGGCAACCGATGTACCATCTATGCTGTAGAGATACATTTATAGAATAAATTATGGGTAGGGAAAACCACCATATGCATAATGCCTCTGATGTAAATACTTTAGTATTTAGGTAGAAGTCAAATCTAACGTCTAATTGCTTTTGAACCGGACACTCCACTGGGGCGGAGTTCCGATTTTCCAGGAGGTTAAGACAAAAAAAAAAAAAAAAAAAGTTGCGGCCAAATGAACTGTTAGCCACAAGACAAGCAAGTTTTTTTCGCATTTACTATATCCATGTAACTTTAATCATGACGATTGTTCTGAGCTATTTCTCGCCTTCAAGCAACATCTCGCCTTTACGTTGCGTATCTGTGCGCATATAGAAAAAAACATCAAATTTCTAAAAATACAGTTGTTACCGCTGAGGCAATATTAATTGTGTATTCGTGTATTTATGTTTATTGAACCTATGTAGGTTTCATGCCAGTTAAATGTACCGTGTTTCAGCATAAAACTTGTATAATTCGACAAATTAATATCGGACAGTAAATGCTTTCCAAAGTTCAATTGTCAATTAATTTGGAATTTGCTACTGCCTTGCTAATCAGGAAACGATAAACAAACTGTGATACTTTCCTAGTGAAGGATTTTTCACAGACAACTCGGCCCAACAGCTTGCAGCTTTCAAGCCAGATGCTACGACGTGCAAATGGCCGGCGACAAAGTTTGCAAATCCTAATATTTTACTATTTAATCATGAAATTGGAAAAGCTATTAATGCACTAACGTATATTCCTAACAACCTCGGTCAGACATTTACAGCAAAGCCATCAACAACTTCGTCTTACTTGGCCTAGTGCCTCAAAAACGCCTCATAGAACTGAATAGTGTCTCTACATAAAAGCGTACTTATTTTAATCAGATATTCAAGGAATACTCTTTACATGTTCGAAAGTTCCCAAAGCGATTGGTTCCATGACAGACAAGAATGTTTACATTATGAGAAGCCACGAGAGGAAGACAGTCAATACATACTTCGTCATCATAAACATATGATGAATGGCTGACTGTGTCAGAATGTCATTATTGCTAAAATAATGGACTCGTAAAGCTTGATAGTTCGCTCAGCTTGATAGCCGGAAGTTGACGAAATAGATCTTTTTATTTGTAACATTCAAAGCTGTATCGTACGAATTATGCCGTAACACGTCACGGCCAAATCTCGGTCCAAAGGACACTTGCATAACGCATACTTCTGAAAACAGAAATACTTGTCAAGGATAAAAGGATTTTTTTTCTCTCGTACGTTTTGATTATCGAAATGACGCGTAATTTGATTCAAATTATGCAAAGTACACGACGGAAATACATTCGGCAGCTACACCACCTTCATTTCACCAGCCATAAACAGAAAATGTTTCATTATTTCGAAATTACCGCGAAATGATTGTGCTTCATAATAGACACAAATTGGGTAAGTCGTTTATTCAGTGCCGATTAGCGACATTGGTCTGGTAATTTTTTTTGATATCTCGGCACGGAAAGATGAATGAAACAGGATAATTAGATTCAAAAGATAACGAAGAGCTACGCCACGTAGCGTCGTGGAATGACTAGTCAGCTAGCGATTACGAAAAACCATCAAGAGCAATGATAAGGCGGCAGAGGAGCGTATACAACAATTTCACAGCTGAAATGTCAAGTACAACAGACAGTAATAACGACAACAACAGTGGGGTCCTTTTCGCAGTTAAGCCGAGGATAATATATTATTCGATTTATTTGATCTAGGCGAAGCATCAGCGAGCTTAAAAGCTGCCTGTTTCAACTAAACCATTGCAGCCTTTGAAAAGTTTGCGAAAAATTCACATGGGGCAAACCGAACAACTTTCGGTAGGGTTCAGATTCAAAGGGCTTGGAGATTCAAAGTATCAAATCGAGCCATTTTTAAAGCGCTTGATAATAGCTGATAAAAAATATATCGCAGACAATAGCAATGTGCGAAAAGCAAAAAAATCCGCAACCTGTAGTAAAGCTTTAGCTGACGCCAAAATGAATGACATCATGTACCTGCTGGAATTGCTAAGCAAATGTGTATTATGAACTGCTGCCATCGCAGAACGACGGATCAGACCACCTACTATCAATATCTGACAAGATTACGACAAGCCATTGAAAAAAGCCAACCGGATCCAGTGAACAGGACGGAAGCTGTCGTTCTTCGTGGCAGTGACAAATCACATACGTGTTTAGCTATCCTATAAAAATTGAGCGAACTTCGATAGGAAATTTTTATATATCCGCTGCATAATTCTTTATCTCATATTCTCAGATTATCGTTTGTTAGAAGTACCCTGACGGTGTTCATTTAGTTCTAATAGAGGGATGCTAAAATCATTTGTCACGATTCTTTGCCGAGGGGCCTTAGCAGTGCTACAGTGATTGGATAATGGTGTGATCAGAAAAATGGCAGAAGGTCGTCGATCACAATAGCGTATATTCAGTTTAAAAGTGCTGCTTTAAAATATAACAAGACATTTGCTTTAGTTGCGGTTCAAAAGCCATTAATATTTTTTGCCAATGATTCGAAGGTTCGTGCAATAAAAACAAAAAGAGCAGAGCGCAAAATTAGACCTCTGTCCTACAGTTTTTTTATGCTTTTCCACTTTCCGCTACGTAGTTCGCCGCAATATATCTAGCTGCGTTAGCCTAAGAGGATCTTTTTTCTGGCGGCCTAAAATAGGCTAATACAATTATTGACAAATAGAAGAGTCGTTTAGCTAAACTGATGAAAATTTTCCTTTCTAATAAGTAAATCTAACGTGACATATTTTATGATATATTTTGCATAGAGGTTATTGGCGCTAAAGAGGCAGCCGAACTGTCGCATATTGTTGAACAGTGCAATATATGAATCTTCGTTACTGCAAGAACTTTTGAGTAATATGGCTCTGCCGAATTACTCTATTGTAATAATGGATATTATTATTTTATCTTCACCCATTAAAATATTCGGTTGATTACGATGGGAACAGTTAAGAGTTACGATTAGAGTTACCTGGCTGAGCATTGCCTGTGCATCGAACCTGCGTTTTACAGCCCACAGCAGGCACTAAAAAATACTGTATAATCGTACTTAAGCCACGAGCCATAGATAAGAGAAACCTAGAAATAGGTATTTTTACGTAGTAGTTTTACGTACTTGCAATCATCTAGAAGTATGTGGCCTCTTTGCAAGCTCTCCGATGGTACTGACCAGAAAAATCAACTAGGGTAAGTTAGATCGAATTTATCATTCGGTTCTTTATCTGTCTCAGTTAAACTGGAGTTTCTTTTTTTGCTCGGATGCTATTTAAGATCTAGTTTCAGTCTTCGTTTACTTTTTTCCGAGGAATGAAGTCTCGAGCTACTCCAAAGAATGATGAGCAGGATTAATGAGTAGCCATTAATATGAAACTTATTACTACTGTAGAACCGGCGGTCCGGACGATAAGGGAAAAAAGTATGACTCCGCCTGCTCTATCAAGGTGCTTATAGGTTCGATGCTCACACACTGCCTTCAGCCGATGTCACGTGTTGTTATTGTGGTTTTTTGTGCGTTAGTGGCCAAGTCGAGCGCGCAGAACACACCTTTGAGTCCCCCCTGAAGTTTTGAGATAGCTATCGAGTTTACTAATTTTCCCCGTTAGTCCTGCTGGAGTTCCATTAGTATAGCAGTTTAATAAATGGCTTTTCTAAAATTGATATCAAATTCTCTAAATAAGACATAACTGACTGGCAGAACAAGCAGTTTCTACCTATATCCAATTGTAGCTAAACTTGACGGCATCAGCTATTATATGCGTAGTTGGATGCGTAGTTGCCCTGAGGAGTCTGCTTCAGCTTTTGCCCTCTTGGCATAGCCTTTGTTTCTCACGCTTTCTTCATGTCTTTCGGGGCCATTATAAGAATATATAATATAAAAGTTACGCCTAGTGGCTTTCGTTTGCTCGTCGGGCCAAGATTTCCAGTAACTTTTGCTTCACGATATTTATTAATCCTCTTAACTAACAGATTTGCTCCATAAAGCGCTCGACTTTGCCTAGAATATTTCGATAGCTTATATTGCGGATTTATATTGTTAGCTTTTATTGGACTATTGGATTCTGTTATTAACTCTTAATCAGGCAAACAATAAGATAATTAAAAAATCAACCACAACGAGCAAATATTTTATTTTATTTATTTTTTTTTTATCATTCTAAAATCATTTTATCAATCTCGAGATAGATTTGAGCTGAATTTTCTTCGCATTCAATATTAAATTTCCTGTTATGATCGATATATTTAGGTGTGGAAGCTACTTCTCAATAGGAAATAGTACAATTGCGTTGCAGTTCTTTGTTACGGTATTTATCCTATTTTATGAATTATTATTTATTTACCTTTATCAAATCTGAAGTTCGTTTCTGCGAGCTAAGCCGGACGATCGCGTATTTTCTATATAAAATTCAATATAAAAAAAAAGGAAAGAATAAGTCTTATGTATTTTTGTTACTTATAGCAAAATCTGATTCGTCGAACATGAGTAAAATTTTAGGGCAAAAAATAGCAAGTTTGGAAGTTGCCTATTGAACTTGGCAATTGACTTGAACAATTGGCTATTGACTTTTCCTTTGACAGAAGCAAAGATATCTTCTCTAAGCAGTCATTAGCTATAGTGAAGGTGTTTTGCCCAACATCATGTAGGTCGAAACGATTAGTTTAAAATAATAAATCTTGCTATAAATAAAGGCAATAGGCGTCGAAGTATCATATTAATAAAAGTACATTGTTTGTTTGCAGTATAGTAATTTATACGATTAGAAACGATTGTTTTTATTGTGACTATATAATAAAAGTCCTGAAAATTGTTGATCGAGGTCTATATCGACAACATGTGAAAGATTTGAACAATTTTAGATGACGGCGCATTTCTAAGAGATCTATGTCGCTGGAAATAATTTACTTGACACTATGTAGCGCTCTGTACAAATACACTTTTAAGTCAACCACTCACCACGATGATCATATGTCTGTCACAGTAATTCCAAAAAAGGAACAGCTATTTCTCTACGATGGACAGAAATAAAAATATCAGATGTATCTTTGTATTATACATGCTTCTTTCAGTTTTTCAACAAATCTATTGATGAGAAGGAAAAAAGATCTGCGTAATTATTCTAGAGTTGTGCAAGCATACGTTCATTGTAACTATCGATCTACTCCGAGGCATTCAGACTTCTTGTGGAGATTTGTATGAATAAGGATGTTTGTAAAGGCAACTGCAAGCAGCGTATAGTAAATAGAACAAGAAGAGGTTACCACATCCTCGGTGGTAGGTCTGCTCTTCAATTACGAGCAGATACTTTGCACAAAATCTGTTCTTTACTTTCCAAATCAACCCTTTATAAGGCCTGTCGAATACGTATCAATTTGGTAGTACAATGGAAAAATCACGATAACACATGTAGGCGGCAGGATGAGCATGTAAAACAATGCTAGAAGTCTGCTTATTGTCCTCTAATTTGAAACTGGCATCACTTTTAGATCTTCTTTAATTCGATAAAAGCTAATAAACAGAAGCCAGTTTGAATGTCTGCTATTCCTAGGCTAAAATACTATAAACCTAATTTGTTTTATCAATCTTAATTTTGACCTTAATGTAATTGGCTCCGTAGCAAAGATGTAATAGCATAGGACAAATGAATATATCCACAGTAACAAACTGCAGTAAAAACAACTTGAACCATAAACGGAGTTTCGAAAAATTTTATTAAAGTGCTTTATTGTAATCTTAATTCAATCATTCTGTTATCGTTTGTTTAACTTAACATGCTCTTTTTCAACATTTATCACCAACCAAGTAACTTGCCGTCATGGATCTTTCCAGATGAATGAATAATAGCATCATGTCTAATACAGAGGTCCACCCACTTGCTCCTATCTTACCTGTCGGATTTTTTGCGTATTTATGAGCTACGAGTGATATGTATATATATAATGCGTACCTCTTGTATGCTATACTAAAATTAAATGACGCAGTCAATCGAGAGAATTACACCTATCGAGTACCTGTAAATGCACCATTTTACGCGAAAACCGTATGTAAGCTCAGCAGAAACTATTTCTTCCATTTCAAGCAGATTAATTAATTAATCGGAACTTTTCTTCTTAACGATTACTTAAAGCTAGTTTACCACGACTTCCCAAAAAATGGCGCATTTTATTTTCGACAGCTGGAAGCGCCTGTACACTGCAATCTTGATCTAAGGGAGAGATCTGGCTGAGGATCCTTCAAACAAATACCTAATGGCCGTGCCTCAGATTTGACGCTAATAGAGTTTTCTCGTGTGTTTCTTCCCGTAAAGGTATAATCTACTCCAGAAAACCGACGGCACTGTATGATGTAAAATCCGTAATTGAACCAGAACGCGCCACAACACCAAATTAAATCTTCCTTTAAAGTCTGTGTATCAATAGCCGATCGTTATCAGCAATCTATTGATCAGAACGGTGGCAACTTTGAACACTTGAGGTAGATGGAAAACTTATACGTTTTATGTAAATAATTTGGTAATCTAAATACCTATTAAACGTAAACAAAAGATGAAGTTATTATCATTCAGACTATGTACATATCATTACAATACTCCGCATGCATATATATATATATATACGTGTGACATACGTATTCCATGTATATTACTGCATCAAAAAAGCATCAGTAAAATGTTTGGCTAACGTTGGCGGGAAGCCGACATGTAACCGAACTTAGGATGCTAAACCTTACCTGCTCGCTGTCTAAAAGTCAAACCTTAAAGCACTGGAACGTGGGCTTTGAATATTTCTATCACTGTAAAATGAATGCCTTTCGCCCGCGAATGTTTCGCTTCTTCAAAAAAGTGCGAATGAAGTACCGACGGCATGTATCAGCATTAAGAATATGGTCAAATGCTCGCAAGTGGCGCTGTTTGAAATCAAGGCGCCAATCAGCCTACAGGCGGTGTTAAGGGCTTCGCGATGGACAGGTCGCACGGAAAAACCATGGAAGCAAAGAGCAATGCATGCTTCGAGAATTGTCAAATCATCTTCAGGAAGAGCTAGCTTTTCATAGGGGTCATGTCGGAAGATTTTCAAAAATCTTTTGCAGGTCAGAGAGAGCTCATCGCAGTGTTTGTGCAAAAGGAAACGACTTTCGAGCAGGTGTAAACTTGCCAACAGCCGTTGTCTCGGAAACATTTACAGAGAGCAAGATGGGTGTACGAATATGACCTTTCGTTTCTGAGATAAGCCGGTAAGTAAAATTGCAAGTTTCCGATAAAAAACTAAGCTTCATTTCTATGTCTTTTGCCGTTATCGGAATTGTGCATTGTGAAGTAATGTCGTTACTTCTACGCTTGATGTTATCAACTATTATCGCGAGGACTAAGTAAAGCTGAAAATCAGCCTCAATTTTTAAATCAATCTTTTGCATCAATAATACCTCGCCTTGCACGTCGTTGCTTGCGCCGTTTTTTTTTTCGCAGAAAAATGCAAAGCGTGTTTTGCGCCAGCTCATGTATTGCTCATATTTAGCTTGTTTCCTGTGGCTTAATTATGTTTTAGATCTCAATAAACACCCAAAAAGAAAGGAATAGCGCTTGGTACGGAACCGAATTCCAGCTATTGTAATAAGAGCGTACAAATGCAGAACATATATCCCTAATATGGGGTGTATATATATATATATAAAGTTGTAGAATTTGGTGCAGATGATTTCAGAGCGTTCCCACATGCATCATTCCATGTGTATGTAGGTCTGGTATAGCATTGCTCAAACCTACACCAATATCAATAGTAATTAGCACCGCTAGAGAAACTTCACCTCGTTCTAATATAAGTTACTATATTGTGGTCCACCTGTTTTATACATTTATTTAAATATTGTTTGCTAATATAGAACTTCTTTTTCAGTCCCCGATTCCTTTAGTTATTACTATTCTATAGACGCGTGCTATGTGTGATTTGTTGAAGCGTTACATGCAGTAGCGTTATCTTGCTTCAGAATAGAAAATGTGGAAGTTTCACAACATCACCCTGAAGATTGTGTCCTCGATATGACGTTTTTTTTTGGTGTATTATCTATATTTGGAGTATTATCTATATACTGTGTAGGTAGAACTAGGCATTTATTATGGCTAATTCATGTGTTTTCCGTCCTCGAATATCTTTAGCAAACAAAGGTGCGACAAACGGTTCTATAGATTTTCCTGATGCAACGTCAAGCTTTACTGAATATGACAAGCAGTAAATGAATGAATTTGACATAAGAGCACGTATTGAACGCAGACTCGTTTTGTAAACAAGCTTTCCAAGGCAATAAACACAACGATGTTGCTCAAGAGTTCGGTGGCGTAGCCAGTTAGGAAAGAGTACGCCAGTGGTAAATTCTGGGCACCATGGATAAATCCGTGAATTTTTTTATGTACTAAGGGTTCACACAACGATTTTATATTCGTAGAAAAAGATTTTCTTAAGAAAATTAATTTGATTAAGAAAAGGAAGGTTTTTTTTCTAACGAAATTTTTGATCGGTCGATAAAGTTGAAAATTTCATTTTTAATACAACATAGATTCAGGTTTTATATTAGGTATCGCCATTAGGCAGTTGATCACACAGCTGGCTGGCTGGCTGGCTGGCTGCCTCGAACCAGTTTGAGTTCCTATACACCACATGTCCCTAAGGTTAGCAGGTGAATACATTACCCACTATGCTATTACGGGAAGTGCATGATCTCTGTTTCTAGATCTGAAAGCATCATTAAACATTCAGTACATATACGAGTATGTAATAGGGCTTTGCGCTAACTAGACAAAATATAATAACAATAGCCGAAAAATCTAAATGGCATTTGATTTGTTGTTCACGCAAGAGTTAATTAGCAACAGATAATGTAAACAAATTTTACACAGAAAGAGAGACAAAGCCAAATTTGGTTCTCTTCCATCTCTTCTATCACATCGACAATCTTAATTAGGTTCCCAAATAGATCGGGCGGCCTTATGGCAGTCAAATTTTAGAAAAGTCTTTAGGTTAGCATAACTTGCACTTCCCTATGCGCGAGGCATTGAGTAATATAACAACTGCTAGCCGATTTTTGTCACAACGAAGAAGTCCAGAATGATCTACACGGACAGACTAAACGGAAGATTCAAAACGTATCGATGGGTATCTATAACTTTCATAGAAACAACTAACTTCCAGCTCAAATATTCTGGTACCTTTAGCACGTTTTACGTCTCGTTGAATTAATGAAACGTTTTCCGGATCGTTTCGTTTTAGATTAGCGGGCTTCCCAGGTTCGTACGGGCATTTTTTAACATCAAGTCGTCTAAGTTTGCGATCCATACTACAAGCATAGTGATATCAAGTGGCGGAACGTTTCTAAGGTAAGTTGGTCAGCTTTAAGATTTACGTTTTTCTTTTTACAATGAGAAATGTCTTACTAACTCTCAGGGCTAACGAACGGAACAATTCAAATTGTCTTTAGTAATAGAATTGTAATGTTGACATACGCATGCCAAGATCAAGCTATTGCCGTAACGATTCTCTACTGCTTAAAAGCCGTTTGTTAAAAGTAACAAGCTTCTATTGTTCAATTTAAGCCTGAATTGAACGCTTCCTATACGCTACCCACTAAAGGTAAATAAACTGAATAAAAAGAGCATAACCTTATTTTACCAGGCGATAAGCAGACTCCTTCGTAGGGCTCCGTAATAATCAACCCAAAACTGCTCAAAAAAAACTATGAATGCACTCTATTTGTATATACTATACTCATATAGCCGGTAGCAAATCAAATAGCTATCCAGCTACGGTAGGGAGTCCATTTACCCAGCCATATAGCTGTTTCGAGTTAGAAACAACATTATATTGGACGAATAGCGTCCTAAATTGGTCATATAGTAGTAATATTTGCAAACGTTGCCTAAGTCTATTCATCTTAACATCTGCAGAGTGAATGAGGAACAGCAATGCTATCCAAGGAAAACCAATTAATCCCTCTATTCGTTTGTTATCTGCCAAACTAAAATATAGCAAAAAGTTCAATCTTTAAAAGATCTACGAGCACAGCCCGCCGTTGCCGAGTTCACCTGAAGTTGCCTACCTTCTCTAGCCGTTAGGCTGAGCTCTGGTTGTTAGTCTCACTTGGTCATTTTATACTTCCTCAGTAAATTTAATTTGTTTGTTTATAATACCATATTCTTGCCTCTCACAATACGGTTCCTTATCAATGCGGCTCATTTACTTGTATCAGATACGATGTTTTTTACATGTAAATGTTAGTAGTCGGTAAAGCTTCACTGACGGACTAGCAAAGGGCTTTCCCCGTAATGTGGTCAAGCTTTTCTGAAGCTCGTTAATCATATACGCAAGTGTATAAGACGTACACATTCATCAGAAGTGCTGCTGTAGGATTAGCGGTGAAGATCGAACTATCGAGCCGACCCCGTTGTTTTCTAGTGTACGGAGTAACAATGGCGCCACACTTTGAAATACGATCGGTGGAAAGACGGCTGATGAATGATTTCCATAATTTGATTATATCATTAAGCAGCGACCGATGCTCTACTATACATTACAGTTAACAAGAATAGTTATAGTGTTCTATTTTATTAGTCAGTCATAATTAGCTTGACCGAGTATATTTGTTCATCCGATACGCAAACGATGAGATGTTTCGATGTGTGAGAGGGTACAGGGCTCTTGTTACTTGGAGCGAAGAGCTGATGTTCTCTAGCTGAATGTTCATGAAGATTTACATCAAACTAAATTTTTTTCTCTTTACGCGATACAGTCTTGTTTATCTATTGTCATTTAGTTGTCGTTGCCGACAATGCATTAATCAATGGTCGCTTCTTCTACGTTCCTTCTTTCAGCAGCTAGTTGTTCGGGCTTTCGGGTGCGTTTTCGTATTGTATGTAACAGGCGGAACGTAACAATATAACACGAAAGCTTTTCGAAAAATCTTCAACTAGATACAAAAGTTAATTGGACTAATCGATACCAAAAACGTATATCTCGCTGAGCCGCTTGAGCCGTGTAGTGAAGATATTCGGTGGCACTATCATCGTCATGGTGGAACTGAGTTGACTTCATCCTGCCGCTAGTCGTGATTTTGAAGTAATGGCGGTCATCTCGGAGCGACAATTTTTTCGTCCCGGTGTTTGGACCTTTTTGAGTCGATATCGGCCCTGCTGCCGCTATCATGTATGTAATTTCGATCGGTGTTACCATTTTCCGTTTTTTTAACGTCGTCAACTTCACTTTCACCATCTTTATTTGTCTTATCAATCAACAGCAGAGGACACATGCCGAGCAAACATCCAATGAATACACCGAACGCGCGACCCTGAAACCGTACGTAAAAATAGAAAAATTTGCGACGGTACAGAGCAGTATATTCACATGAATCTTTTGTCATGTGTACGCTACACGTATATACGCGTAAAGCACTTCCTATTATTTTGAAATATGGTTTCTTACGAAATTGCTAACGATCCGTGTGGAGGTCATATTGAGCTGCTCGGCAGTCAAAATGGGCACTTGAACGCCAATGCGACACGCGATTCTTTCCACGTACCATGCTGATCTGTAACAAAAAAAATCATTGGACAAAACAGGTGCACAGTCGAATTTCTTGCGGTTAATTATGGCATATGTAGGCTTTTTTTATTAGAGACATAAAATATTTAAGTTTACTTTTATGGGGTCTCCAATGTTGTTAGATGATTTTCTTAAGTAAAGTCTAAACTAGATACACTCAATAAAACTATCTATTTCCTCCCATCCTTTCTTGCTATTTCGTTATTTTTATGATTCTGATTATTTATTTGCTTTCCATTTTCAGAAGATAAAAAACTAACTACGAATTTCTAACAACTTCAGGTGTTCGCATTATTTTCTTAAGAAACTAATCATCTAGCTCAAAATATACTATTTTTGGTGCCTATCGAGAATGGTCAAAGTCCTAGTTATCCTTTATTTTAATCAGCATTTTACTAAATCATAATATCGATCGTTCTGATGTAAACATTATGTAGCTTTGGCTATACATTTTTTGCCATTATTTTTTTTTTAACAAAAACTAGCTAAACACCTTTCGATATAGCCGAAAATGGATCAGAATTTAATATTGAATATGGGGGTGCTGCATTATCTTCATAGCTGAATATGTAATAGCCATAACGCATAGTGGATCGATAGAAACATCGAATTTATTCGCATTCCTATACAAAGTTTTCCATAGGCATTCGCGCCAATTTTAAAAATCTAATGCACACGCATACATTGGCCTAGCTGCAGAAAGTTTATATCTTGTCAAAAAATGTCTTCTTCCTCGAAGATAACGGCACAGAATAACTTCGCTTCACCCTCGATGAAGTGTTTTCTTCTTAAACAAAAGTCATAAGCTTTTTTCCGTACGCGACCGAATCGGTTAAAGACATTTACCAAAATATAATAATAATAAATCTGCCGTTTCGAACATAACCACGCACACAGAATACCAGTTCTATTTTTTTTGTTTTTGTTTTTACACATGATAATACACCTGGTACGCATACACGCACTGGACGCTACTCAACATAGACGCTTCTCCCGGCTTTGTTGCAGATAGGCTGTTACATTTCCCGTTTCGCCGTTGTAGTTAGCCTTATTAAATCCCTCCGTCGCAGCTCGTTCGTTCGAGATATTCTGTTTAGGTTAATTCACTGCACTGTATTGTATGGTTCCCGATCGAATCGTACTGTTTCGGCTATACTAGCTCGATTGTTTCCTATACCGGGCTACTCAAATTTACCGTGCTCCGGGAACGCTCAGCGGTTATCCGATTTCCTGAGTCAATTATCCCGTATTTTCAATGCAAGTATGGTGTCATTGCGTTACCGTTCATCGATTACTCCATTACTTGTCTTAATAGACCTTTACCTAAATATTCGATCAAAGAACCAAGCGAATAAACAATGTGAAAGCTCAATTTTTTTTAACGATTCTGGGCAGCCTTCTTAAAGAATATACTAAAATGCCTTGTTTAAAAAAATTGAAAATCTGATTTTATGCTTATTGTGTGAAGCTTGAAAAACCAAGCCCCTTCGGCATTTAAATCTTTCACAAATTCCCGATAGAAATAATAGCTTAGAAGGGTTTCCTTTTCCCCACTCCGTCATAAAGTCGAGATAGAAGCTTTATGTACGGTACTGCCGCTGGCGCCGGATCTAAACGACTTTATGCGTATTAATGTTTAGAAGGCGAACAAGTTACTACTGCTTTGTCAAAGTCTACGAAGATGTTTTCATACTTAAGTTCAGCTTGACTAAATTCAACTTTAGCAGACATGTTGTGCTGTCAAGGTAGGTCTACACGCGAAAAATCACGGAAGTGTTACAACCGTTTCCGAGATATGCGGCGTTTCGACATATACGCGTTCGTATGCAGGAAGTCAGTCGTTGAAAGGAGAACTAATTCGTGTCACGGTTTATCTCTTGCACGCTAGTGATTTCTATGTGGACGGGATGACTATATTCTATACCGCATTTTGACGGGCCTAAACTTTTTGCGTAGTTGTTCTTAGCCTTTGAGAACTGCTATCCCGGCAAAGAAGCTGAAAACTTAAACGGCTCATGTTTTGCGGCCTGCTTAAGGGAGAAACTACAGACTGTTTTTTCAGGCATGCAGCCGAAATCTGCTGAGACTTAGACCCTTGATATCTATCAAATGGACCTTATAACTCCGAACGTACCAGCTACAGAGCAGACATTCTATTACATTACAAATCATAGGCCCGGAATACGAGATGCCCACCGAACTGCTACTTTCATTACCGCTAGAAGATGGGAGTTGCCTATCGAAGAGCTGCCGATCCCTGGGAACTTCGGTGCTGGCTTGATACCAGCGTGGTCATTAATTACAAAAACTACTTAGGAAGACTAGAGATAACAGGTGCTTGGTTCAGAAGTCTGAAGGCCTGTTAGCGTCAGATTCGATGGTTAGGTCGTATTTCGAATTTTGATAGATTGCAATTGTTCAGAAAGAAACGAGTTCAAACACTCCGTACACTGATGGAAGATGAGAACGTTTTAGCAGTACTGATATTAATCTGTGTAAGTATAGATTACGTAAAGTATTTCACGTATTTTACGGCGAGGTCAGCGACAGTATCGCGTGGCATGACGAGCCCGCTATTCGAGGAATAAGTTACTACTACTGTTATTATTACCTTTGCAAAAACAACAGCTCTATCAAATCAACTCAATTCTTTATCAATCGAAAAAAATAATCACTACATGTTGGCTTTCCGCTCAATTATGTTGATAATGAGTACCACGTAAACGTGTAGTAGTATGGAATTTTACTTATATGATTCAACAAGCATTCAAAGGACAAAGAACCTTCAACTATTTCTTGCGTTTATACAACGATGTTTATGTCTATAGATAGTTCTGTGGCTTGCCGGATTCGTGCTACTATTTATTTTCCATCAAATATCGAAATGTCCGGTCGCAGCGTTCGGCGAAATGGTCCAACCGTTACCTGGAGAATAGAGCTACTATTATTATTTCATTATATTATTATAGCAATTACGGGATTGACACAAAATCTGCCAGCAGAGATTTTGAGCCAGCTATTATATAGGTGATATCTACAGCGTGAGGTTTAGAAATTTCGCTACCAGATGGGAAACCAAGCAGAAACTTGTAAGTAATCCTCCGTGCAATTAGTTTTCATTTTTTATTCTATAAATACGTATTCAAATAGTAGCCTTATTTTAAAATGAAGAAAAATGAAAGACGTGTTTTAGCGGTTTCGGTTTAACTCGACTTAAGTCATAATTTCAATTCAATTTTCAAATTTTATTTGAATTAACTTTTATCTAGTTGCAATAGAAAAGTGTCTGGTGCCTCTGAGATCCGCTATTCTGTAGCGTTTTCCTCCTTTGTTTTATTTTTAATATTCAATATTTTATTTGTTTTTATTCAATTATACATTTGCGGAGTAAAAATAATAATACAATGGGCCATTTTTTACATTGCCAAAGCTATTATTCCAACTACTTTCTTAGAATCCTATCGTAGAATGGATTACTTATTCTCTGTAAAGTATATTGTGTAAGAGAGACGTTTTGAGTTTTAAGCTCGGACTCGTACCGGCGTTTCATTAAAAGTCAGCGTAGCGCCACCTTTTGGCCCCGATTCGCCAAAATATCACTCTTTTGTAAATGTTATTAGAGCCTGTCTTTAGGAAAAATAAATAACATGCGTGAGTTTTAGGCTACTAGTAGTCCTTCTTTTTGGGGGAGTAACTGCGTCGACTTTTCGTCTATGCAGCCGTTTCTGCGATAAAACAATCTGAGTTTCTTTTGAAAGTCTTGTCTTCACACGATGTCGTTCTGCTTTTCGATAATGTAACATACACATGCGTTGCTTACCTTTGGCATTGTTAATTATGTTGTGTAAGCCATTAAGCGGAATATATTTATTGATTTTGGCAAACAATGTGTTTTCGAATAAATGCCCGTTAGAGAAAATGTGATCTTTAAAAGATACTTTTCGCCATCTGTAGTTAAGAACACAAAGAAAGAAATACGTTTCTAAACGATTTAAAGCTGTTATCCATTAGCAGTACTATTTAATTCCAAAAACTGCTCAAGGAACTAGTGAAGTTAATTCTACAAATACTATTTCAAGATACACAATACACAGTAATCAAAAACGCTACGGCCGTGTGACAACTAGAAAGACAATTATGTTTCCGGCACAGATGGCTAGACTCCGTGACATCAGTTTGCTGGAAAACAATAGTAATACACATGACCACGACCGACATTCAGGCAACCATAATCCACAATTCTCAATCTTCCTTTCGAGAAGAACTTTTGATCTTGCATTTCCGGTACTCACCCGATTCCCGCAACGTCAGATATAGCATTTCCCAGACCGGCGGCTAAAGTGGACCATAAGAAATATCAAATGGTTAGAACTTTTCTCCAGTCCCTGATATGAGCCCCAAGGCCATCGCATCTCTCAAGCTAATTAAATTGCACAGATAGATAATTAGCTAGATGTAAACGGCCCAAGCTATCTATATTTAACACTGCGCGACAATGATACCCGGCTTGCTATTTCTGAGGTTACTGTATTCGTTAAGATGATGAGTTGATTAAATGCATTACAATTAAGTAGATACGGTCACACGAAGCTCACGTATTAGAATATACAGCCAATGGAATATCTACTATTAGTAAAAAAGGATGACCAGATTATGTGCGGCAAATGGTCAGAACCCAACAATGCCGTATGTTTTCACTGCTCACTCATCTACTTTGATAATATGCTGTACCCATAATTGCATGTCGTAACCATCGTGAAGCAGGCCCCAATATGACTCTTTCATGAGCGGTCTCCGAGACGCAATGCGTTCTATACAAGCCAGTAGCAGACAGCTCAAGAAGTAGGTCATAGTTCATTCAAATCGAAGATTCCACTAAAATGCCCCTCGCTATTTCTAATTAGACGACGATATTGTGCATAGACCTCAGATGAAAGAAGATCCAAGATGTCCTCGAAATCGTATACTGCGGCCGTATATTGAGCTAATCGTAGGAAGCACATAGGTGTGCACTTGGCTGACAGTGTTCACAGAGAAAATCCAATTTGTCCTTAGAGTAGCTTTTTCAGCTGACTCGTGTCTGATATTTAATTCTGCTTCGGCTAGTCGCCAACACAAGGACTTCCTAAGCCTCTGAGATCAAGGCTCAAACAGCTCAAAACGTTATCCATTGAACCGCATTATAATTGTAAAGCATTTTAGCAATCGGAAAAAGAAGGAAACGTGCAATTTTCTATGGTAAAATTTCCAGGAAGTGAAAGTAATAACGTAAATTTAGCAAAACAGATAATATCTTATTCGTATCATGCAGATGAAGACGCTACGCATTCATGACATTTGCTTATTTCGTCTATTTTTTTTAGCCGGGAGTACAGAAATATTAAAAAAAAAGAAGAAAACCCACGTGCATATAATTATACCTAA